TTTCTAAGCATCTATTGGCTCGTTTACGGTACGAATATTAATGTGATTTATTTAATGACATTGTTAAAGATAAATAGTGTTAATATCTTATTAAATGGTATCAAACATTACTGTTAAATTAAATAATACCATGTTTTAGTCATATAAATTATCCAATATATATTATGGGATATTTATACTATTAATCATATACCAACCATGATTATTATGCTGTGTGCATTTCAGGAAATAAATGGACTGTTTAATTATGTCACATTTATATTATATGGATGAGTTGCCATATAGAACCATGTGAGCTGGCTAATAAGTTTAGACTCATTTATACCTTATGCATTCGTTGCTATAGACAGATGTGTGGCTGTCGGGGTATGTGGTTTAATATTATTGACATGTGTTGCCTAATTGTTATGCTCAGTACCTCATTAGTACATTGAGATGTGTTACTACTGTGTAGTCTTTACAGTCTGTGTTGTCAGTATCGTGCACCATGTATAATAGCTGATTCCCGGGTAGGGAAAGGCGACACTTAACCACCTAGTGTGAGTCTAAGTGATCACCGTCTATTCTGGTTGAGGTCATGTTATACATTGGATAGTTCCCTTAGGATGTATACAGATATAGTACTCATCCGATTCTTAATGATTAATTTATTTGATTCTCTGATTTGGGTCATAGTAGAGAGGACTTGCTCGTGGGGTTGACCCACCATTGTTGTTATTTCAGGATACGGTCAGTACCCGTTCCAAGGTTGAGGTTAGCAGTGAGGGACCACCATCCGAAATCATCTACTCTTACGATCCAGTTCAGGGTAGAAGTTTTATGTATTACTTCAGTTTCAGTTTTTATTTACTTTTGACGTTGAACTCTCAGGGTTATATTTAGGGATCCTTGACATAGGATTTCCAAGTTGTAATGGAGTACTGTATAAAATAAAGGATGGATGGATGGATGTTGTATTATTTAGTGTTCCTTTCCTGTCTAAATTCTTTTATTATCATCATTTTGTATTCCATGCTTGTATATTGCCAATTGTTTTTGATATCCCTCGTTTTTCGTGTATAAGCCTGATCAACTTATGCGTGGAAAATGTGGGGTTGTTACAGTTGTCTTCCGCCACTTCTTTCCCGAGTCCTGAAAATTTTTAATGTAAGGGGTGAGCAAATTGTTTAGTAGGTGATGCCTAAAAGACACCTCTTGTGACCCCGTAAATCCAAACAAGGAATAGAAATAAGGAAGACGGAATCATGCCATACCAGGGAGAATATAACCATAACATTAACATCAACATCAACAATTTAAGTCATGAATGAACTAAGCCGTGCAATGGGATGCAATGTCATGCAATGTCGCTCCCCATTATCAAAACCTTTATCAAAACATTTCCCTAAAACCCTTTTCTTTCCATTTCAAATCACATTTCCCATTTTCTTGCCTAATGTCATGCATGAATGTAGCATGTCCTTCAATGCCATAACAATATATAATTTTCCTTAATTTTCATTCAATCACAACAATATCCATCTAGCATGCTTTAGGATTAAATCATATTATAATTTTACATAATTCTTATCATGGTTATAATGCATAACAACACGAGCATGTAGCACCTTGAATTTAACTAGCTCTTTCATACAATTCAGTTAAGCATGCATATGAACTCATATTTTCACATAATACACAACTATCACATCTAACACATAAAACCTTCATAACCATATATAATTTTATGAAATTAAAGCCTTGCTAGGTCAAATTTTAGAGAAATAATTTACCAAGTTCAAAGAAAGTATGTATTAGAAACCTCTACCTCAACCAATTGAAGAAAGCCCCGAATTCTAGCCCAAAAATCCCTATATATGAAATCCCCAATGGTGGCTAAAATGAGATTTACTCCGATCAAATCGTAGGCCTCGACGAGCTCTCCAACATTGCTTAAGGTAGTACCATCAAATTCCCAAATGTGAGGGAAAGACCAAGCCTTGAAAGCTTGATTGAAATGAAAAAGAAAAAGAAAAAGAAGAGGGAGAGAGAGTTGCCGGGAGTGACGGAGAGAATGAGACTGAAAGTGGCCTCTTGGCCACAAAATATTTAGTGGTGGGTCCTACCACTAAATAAAATTTAGCCTTTTAAATTTTTCCTCCACAAACTTATATACATGCACCAATTATAATACAACCACATAATTTAACTCCCAACATAAAATTATGCACAAAATAATTATACATGATATGCAATGGACCCAAAATAAAATTCCAGTACATAACAATTCCGGTAGCGGATCCCACCCAGAATCGTCCGACCCAAAAGGGAAAAATGCCGAAATGGCAACCCTTGCATTTTCAAGAGTCCTGAACTGAAAGAAATGTCCTAACCAAATCTCGACACACTCAGCACACCCCACGGTGTTCGGCATGTAAAATGAGAAAAAAAATTGCCCCCGAAAATTTCAGAAAATTCCAAAAAATGAAAAATGGTAAAAATTGAAAATATTACAATCTACCCTCCTTAAAAAGATTTCGTGTTCGAAATCTACCTTCTTTAAAAATGAGGCCCACAGTACACACCTTCTCGAGAAACACACCACAAAACCACAAGACCATAAACTCACCAACATTATTGCCTTTGACACCGGACGTCACCAGGCAATCAGAAACCACTGTCACTAAAACCAATGCTCACTACCCTATGAGAGCACTCATATCTCACAACATCCCAACACAAAACCAACTGGGCGTAAAGACACACCCTATGCCGAACAAAATTCTCTATCGCCGCATGCCAAGCACACGAGGCACAACCCCCAGCCAACCTTCGCGACTCCACCGAGTCCTGACCCCTGAGAACCATTAGGATCGTCATCCTTCTAACCAAGTCACTATGACACTCAACCATCTACTTCTACACTCAACCTAGGTTAAAACCAATCCGATACATAAAATCGCACTAATGCGGTCCACACGAGACATCTTACAAGAAAGCGGTTGGATCCCATACGAGCTACATCATAGCTGAACACCTACAACTATAATCGAGAGAACCATCCAACCTGTCAAACGTACCATCAGGTACCCGGGAAAATAACCCATTAGCATAGCTCAAGGATTAATTGATCCAACAACTGAAGCTCTTGGTACACATAGCCCCACACCAAGTACACCACCATCCATGGCAAGTCACTTGAACACATACAAAGAATACCATCTATCCCAAATGAGACTCACTCAAAAATGGGATCGTACAACCACACGTACATAACACACAACACCGTACTCCGACTGTCACCGAGCATACTAAAAGTAATGATCATTGACCTTTGACTCGACACTATGTTAAGAAAAGATTGACTCAAAGAAATGGTTGGCCAGGCCATTCCCATCGTCGATCCGACCTCAACACCAACATTATTCTTGTCTTCTGGTCTAATCCCCAAGTATACATATGTACCAATCTTTATGTCTACTCAAGACATACTGTCCATGGCACACGGTCTAACTATCCTTGATACATAAGTCGCATCATGACTGCTAGATACCACTACTAGCCCCAAGACCCTAAGGAAAGGTACACATCGGTAAACAAGTCACATCTCACCGTATCGATCATAACCTCTCGGAACGAATCCCACAAAACCAATGACTTCACCTCTTACCGTGGAGATAAGTTGAACGATCAAAATCAAACCTTTACTCGGAATCCCTAGTAGAAATGGGTACTCTAAAAAGTTCCTCCGCCCACTGACACGCACAACTCCTATGTGGAGATATGAAACTCACAAGCAATAAAGTCTTTGCCAGGACCAAAACAAGAAGAAGGAAGAACGAGTCCATCTCTCACAACGAAAATGAGCACATACCAATCGACACCTCGCTTATGAAATACTAAGAAAGAGGAACTATAAGGAGGCAAAACAACTTGATCTGTAACTCGGACACCTAACATCCATACTTAATAGAGAATAGTGTCCCTTCCAGAAATGCTAGAGGTTAGACAATGAGTCCTAGGACATCGCATCCCATCCTGCCCAAAGGAGAACCTTACAAGCGAACAACCACACCCATAGAAACAACTACATAGCGCCAACAACCACACCCATAACCTTTAAAGTAACATGGTTAAAGATTCTTTGTCATCAATCAATTAATAAAACCAACACATAAGGGCTCGACTGCTCATAAAATACACATCACTATCCAATAAAACTGTCTGGAATACACATGTAGTCATACAAATACATCATTACTTTAATACATAATGATTACAACCGGTACAACATTACAACATGAAACCATTACAGAACATCTTGATCTATATCCTGCCCAAGGGCTCACACACTAACTATTATCAGTATCACCCCAATCCGGGACCACATTGCAGGACATGTCCACCATCCTGGCATAAATAAACCAAATACTACACAAAACTCATGGGTAGCCCCCGTTACAACAAGAACGATAGTGTATAGGCATCTCCTGTCACACCCAATCTCACAGGTATCCCCTGTTACAAAACTCACAAGTATCCCCCGTTACACAATCACTGGTATCCCCTGTTACACAATCGTAGGTAGACCCCTGTTACAAAACTCACAGGTATCCCCCGTTACGACATAACACACATGACTCACTGGTAGCAACATGACAAGACTCATAGACAACAACACTGCACGACTCACAGACAATAACACGACATGACTCACATACAACAATACGACATGACTCACAGGTGTCCCCCGCTATAACCAATACGACTCATAAGTGTCCCATGTTACAACACAACACGACTCATAGGTGTCCCCCGTTACAACCGATACGACTCATATGTATCCCTTGTTACAACACGACACGACTCACAGGTATCCCTCGTTATGACACAGTCATAGGTAACCCCTCGTTACAAAACTTACAGGTAGCCCCCGTTACATCCAGCACAACAGTGCACAGGCATCCGTCCAATCTCATAAGTATCCCCCCGTTACAACAAGAATCGATTATAGTAATGCCTCATCTCCTCTGTGGACAGTCCCTCTTTATATGGTCTAACTGATCACACCAAAAATAAACTTTGAAACTAGGTTGATCAAGATGACACTCCGCCTTGCTGTGTCCTGGCTGTCTACAATCATAACATACCACACTCGCCCTAGAAGACCCTAAAGAAGCACCAACAATAGGAGTAGTACCTGCCATTCGCTGCTCCTGAGATAACACTGAAGCACGCCCGTGCCTTTTCTTGTCTTGGTTCCCAGAAAAAGTACCCATACTCGTACCTCGTTCCTGAGGACCAACAATACCACACCTTACTTGCCAGTCCTTGGCTTCTGCCTCTGCCATTAGTGCTCTTGTAATCGCCTCCGAATATCTCTTTAATCCCAAAAGTGTCACCCCTGGCCTAATAAAACGATTTAGGCCGTACACAAAACGCCATGTCTTTTCTTCTTCGTTCCCTAGCACATCCATAGCGAAACATGAAAAGGAAGTGAACTTGTTCTCATACTCTGTCACTGGCATGTCACCTTGTTCAAGTCCGTCAAACTGCGTCCTCAATTCTCGCCTCTTAGTCTGCAAAAAATACTTATTAAAGAAGAGACTCTTGAATGCATCCCAACTTATACTGTCAATATCATGTGCACTAGTCATGGTCTTCCACCATATTGCCGCGTCGCTAACAAATATATACGTGGCTAAGGTGATCTTTAACCGATCATCGGGTACAACTATTGCCTTGAAATGTTTCTCAACTTCATCAAGCCAAACATCTACAACTAACGGATCTGGACCTCCCTCAAATGTTACTTTCATAAGTTTGTCAAACTGAATAAGGTACCGAAGATTCCGCTCTATCTCCGTCTTCTGTGGCTGAATAGCCGGTTGTGGTGCCACTTGAGGAGCTGTGGTTCTCGCTAAATTCTGAAAGGCTAAGGCTATAGCCCTTGCTAATAAGATATCGTCCACCGGTATTGGTGGATTATCATTCACCTCCCTATCTCGGCCCTGTCCCTTTAAAACCCTAACTGGTTGGGATGGCCTTTCACCTGCTCGCTGTCCAACTTCATTCGGATCCATTTCTCTACGTCGCCCTAAAGCGCAGTTTATACAAAAGCAACTATAAGATCAAAACAAGAATACATGAAATAGCTTAATCCACGAGCTATAGTGCTCACATTATCCGTTCATTAAGAACTAAACATTTATAAATGTAGGAATGATTAAGCCCATCACATACGTGGATCAGAACCCTTCGTAACTCAACACACAACATTGCCCCAAAACCTCAAACTCGTCAACACGAAACAAACTAGTCACACAAACATCCACTCCCTAGTGGATGAACAACCACAACAAAAACCTAAACGTACAACTACTTCCTAAAACAGGATCATAACTATCGTGCTCAAATGAAAGTTGTCATATCCTATAATATATGCTTTCATAAATATTAAACACTTAACCATTAAGCACATAATCAATTAAACATGTTTTCATTAATAGTAAACAATTAACAATTAACCACGAAACAAATCAAGCATGCTTTAAACAAATTTAATCATATAAGTAGTTGCACATAAACATTTAATATCAAACTGTTGATCATGCTTTTTCACTCGACAATCAATAAACTCAACGAGCAATAAACACATAAACATATATTAAACAAAGTAACATCTAAGCACATAAGCACATAGCTATAAGTCATGCTTTTGAACCAAAAAGTAATAACCACATAAGTACGTAATGCCATCAAACCCAATTCTAGCTCTTTTAGGTCAACCCTACCCGTCGTCCTTAGGTTTTCGAACCTAAGTCTCTGATACCAAATTTGTAACAACCCGAATCCATGGGTCCGAACAGTTAATCGGGTCCTTACTCGAATCCGAGGTCACCTAAGTCAATTCTATTATATCTAGTGTCAATACATCTTTATTGCATCACAGATATACTTCATTCAGGCTCTAAGTAACTTCCCAAGACTCAGGGTGAACTATACCAGAAAATGGAACATATGCAACAACAGTTCGGTAGACCGAAGTGGGGCTTCGGTCGGTCGAAGTGAACCCTCCTGTACCGGTCGACCATAGTACCCATTTCGGTCGGCCGGTTGTGGACCCAACAGTAGCTAAAGTTACTGGAAGAATCGGTCGACCGAAGTGCCCATTTCGGTCAGCTGAAATGGCTCGGCGAGACCGGTTCCTGCTACTGGACATACTGAAAATGAGGAAATGCAACGCCTTTATGAAAACTTTGCAATCTGCTCTAAACATGTTTTAAAACACTGCCAAATGATATACTACATTTCCTTCATTCAAAATGCAAGTTTAACATACCATTTACATAGTCCCAAAATCATTTACATGAGTTATACATTGATTACACCCAGGTTACTATCCATGGAACAAAATACAAGCTCTACAACTCATGAGACGTAATACAAAAGATTACAAAATTTATAAACTTCCATCCCCCATCAACCTTGTGGTGGGTTATCCTTCACCACTTCTTCTCCGAGTCTTGAAAAATGTTAATATAAGAGGTGAACAAATTGCTCAGTAGGTGGTACCTAAGACATACCTCTTGTGACCCCATGAATCCAAATAAGGAATAGAAATAAGGAAAACGGAATCATACCATACCGAGGAGAATATAACCACAATATCAACATTAACAATTCAAGTCATGAATGAACTAAGCCGTGCAATGGGATGCAATGTCATGCAATGTCGCTCCCCATTTCAAAACATTTCCCCAAAACCCTTTTCTTTCTATTTCAAATCACATTTCCCATTTTCTTACCCAATGTCATGCATGAATGTAGCATGTCGTTCAATGCCATAACAATTTATGATTTTCCATAATTTTCATTCAATCACAACAATATCCATCTAGTATGCTTTAGGAATAAATCATACTATAATTTTACATAATTCTTATTATGGTTATAACACATAATAACACAAGCATGTAGCACCTTGAATTTAACTAGCTCTTTCATATAATTCAGTTGAGCATGCATATGAACTCATATTTTCACATAATACACAACTATCACGTCTAACACATAAAACCTTCATAACTATGTATAATTTTAATTTTATGAAATTAAAGCCTTGCTAGGTCAAATTATAGAGAAATAATTCACTAAGTTCAAAGAAAGTATGCATTAGAAACCCCTACCTCAACCTATTGAAGAAAGCCCCAAATTCTAGCCCAAAAATCCCTAAATTTGAAATCTCCAATGGTGGCTAAAATGAGATTTGCTCTGATCAAATTGTAAGCCTCGACAAGCTCTCCAACATTACCTAAGGTAGTACCATCAATTCCTAAAGGTGAGGGAAAGATAAAGCCTTGAAAGCTTGATTGAAATGAAAAAGAAAAAGAAGAGGGAGAGAGAGCTGCAGGGAGTGAGGGAGAGAATGAGACTAAAAATGGTCTCTTGGCCACAAAATATTTAGTGGTGTGTCCCAACACTAAATAAAATCTAACCTTTTAAATTTTTCTTCCAAATGCACCAATAATAATACAACCACACAATTTAACTCCCAACATAAAATTATGCACAAAATAATTATACATGATATGCAATGGATCCAAAATAAAATTCCCGTACATAACAATTCTAGTAACAGATCCCACCTTGGACCATTCGGTTCAAAAATATAAAAAAAAATGCCGAAATGACAACCTTTACATTTTCAAGAGTCCTGAATTCAAATAAATGCCCCAATCAACTCTTGGACAAACCCGACACACCCCACGGTGTCCGGCACGCAAAACGAAAAAAGACGAAATTGCTCCCCAAGATTTCAGAAAATTCTAAAAAACAAAAAATGATAAAAATTGAAAACATTACAATTAACTACTTTGATTAACTAAGAGAAAGATTAATTATTTTTTTTTCAATTAAACACTTACACTCATTTTTCATGAGTGTACAAACTACAAAATAATCTATCATTTAATAATAAATAAAGAAAATAAAAAATCAGTCAAAGAGTCAATTATGTCACCGTATCTTTCACTCCAAAGAAAATATAATTAACATCCCCACGACTTGCTCTGATTGATCGGGTCAGTCTTATGGTCTTCTCCCCTCTCTCTCTCTCTCTTACCTTAAAGTCACTGAAATCTTAGCCAACACCTCCAATGATATTAGTTTTTGAGAGAGAGAAGAGAGAAAGAATGTTCCGGTCGTTTCTCAGACAATTGGACCGATGCCCCGGCCGACGAGGTAGCGGAGACGAGCTTCTCTGGCACATGGACTTGAAGCCTCACCCCTCCGGCGACCTCTCCATGGCCGTTGTTCAAGCTAATTCTTTTCTCGAAGACCAAAGTCAAGTCTTCACTTCTCCCTCAGCCACCTTCATCGGCGTCTTCGACGGCCACGGCGGCCCCGACACCTCCAAATTCCTCTCCCACCACCTCTTCCCTCACCTCAACAGTACTCTCTACACTTCCTCACATCTTTTCATCAATATATATATATATACACACACACATCTGAGGTCTGATTTTGGCACAACTAAGGTTACTCCACTGTAATGGGAGGGGAGGTGAGAGTTGTTTCACGATCTCTTCTCATGTGGAGGTAGAGTTATTTAACAGTATCTCTCCCACCTGTGGACAGTGGAGGTATTCATAAGATTGCATACATCTAACTCTTTCTATAATAGTCGGCCTTTTATATATACACACCTATATACACAAATATATATATAATTTTTCTTATGGCATATGATTTTGTTATTTGTAGAGCTTGTTTCTGACAGAGGAGGGTTGTCAGAGGATGTGATTAAGAAGGCATTTGATGATACAGAGCAAGAATTCTTGCACTTGGTGAAGCGGTCGTGGCCGGCTAAGCCAGGGATTGCTTCAGCAGGTTCTTGTTGTCTGGTCGGAGCGATTGCGAAGAATAAGCTGTACGTGGCCAATCTGGGCGACTCTCGGGCGGTTCTAGGCCGGAGAGTCTCCGGTGGGACGAAAAGTGATGCGGTGGTGGCGGAGCGGTTGTCCACGGATCATAATGTGGCGGTGGAAGAGGTGAGGAAGGAGGTGGAAGCTCTTCATCCTGATGATTCACATATTGTTGTCAACCATCACGGTGTTTGGCGAATCAAGGGTATAATTCAGGTAAACAGAGTTCATGAATTTATTTCTTTCTTTATCTTTTTGTGAAAGTTGAAGCAAACGCAAAGACCAACACACCCACAATTGGTGGAGGAGCCAAGAATTTAGTTCAAGGGTTATTTAATTTTTTGTTTTTTCCCAACTAACATGACAATGTTCATTGGTGATTTGCTCAATTGAATAATATAATATGTTGCTACAATATTGGTAATTAGTTGAGATTCTTACCTAATTGTGGAATTTAAAACCACAAGTCAATTAGTTGTGATGATTTTTTTATTTATCTATTGGAGGTACAATATAATATGTAAAGTTCAATTTGTTAATTGGGGATGAAGATTGGAAATTATAGAAAAGTTCAATTCAATTTAGACAGAGGTTATGACATTTTTTGCTGTTTGATACAGATACATATTGCCTTGTAGGATATATTTCCAACACCCTGTCTTGAAAATTTGTTTGATTACTTCACTATGATGCCTAGAATGGATTGGTGAAAAGCTCTGTTCTGAATTTCGAAATGCAACACATTTTATATGTCTTTGTAGAAAAACTTTAATAGTTTCTCTTCTTTTGGGGGGTTTGAGGTCATCTTATGTTGCATATTTGACAAAAATGCAAGGTACTAAATTGCAATAAGGAAATTTCATCATATGGGATTGTTGTATTCATTGAGGATCAAATTGTGTGGCTTAGGGGTTCTCATGTCATCGTCACTTTAAACGAATTCCTGTAGTATTGCATCGTGTTCTATAATTTATGGCCATGAAAGTATATGCTCATGCTTTCCATCTATAAATTGGTTTACCGGGATTGAGGCCTGGTTTAAACACTTGCTTTTTCTTCTGAAATAATGTTTGTCTTTCAGCCTTTGCTTTGACATTGTCAATCTGCTACATTGATTGATCTATGTTTAACTCTTAGTTGTTCTATTTAACATAAAATGGAGAAGTAAAATACTACTCTGGCTCTGTTTTAAGTCTTTTATTATACCTGTTTTACGGAATTTCTTCAACCTATTATGTTAATTGATGGGAAGCAGAGGTCAGCTGTGTGGATAAATATGTTTGATGTTGTTTTTTGTAAAAGTGTTTTAAAGGAAAACGTGAAATAAATATGTTTGATATGTTTTCTACGGATTCATCTTTTATTTACTCATTATGCTCTGTCTTTTCGCCTTTCCTATTAGTCCTATGCATGTTTTATCTATAGATGACCTTGTCATATTTCTTCAAACTGAAAGCTTCATTTCTTCGCCCACAATGTTATGCAACTTGGTTGATTAACTGGGATGTATATGGAGACCTCAATGGTTCAATACTGTAACAGTTAGTCCAACAATTTTCCTTCACTTCTCGACTTAGCCATTCATGTGATTTTCAAGGCTTGAAATTGTGTCAGTTATGGTATTATCATGATCTTTCTTTTTTACTTACACATACATGCCTTTATTGAGGCTCGAATCCCTGACCTCCCTATGGAAAGTAGGGGTTTGGTACCGTTAGGCCACTGGCCTATTATGATGTTAATCTGCGTGCTTCTTTTTCAAGTCATTCAACTCATATTTGTTCATGTTGTGCTTAGTTGAACATGAGTAACTTATTCAACTTCACACTCCTATTCATGGATCGATATATATGTAATATCATTCTTAATGACAACATTAGAAGTGTGGTAACATGAGTACGTTCTTCAAGCTTTTTCTCTGACTTTTGAATTACATATTTATACCTTAAACCTTGTGTGGTATTCATTTGTAAAACATTACTCTTTTTCTAGGTGTCGAGATCTATTGGGGACATATATCTGAAGAAACCAGAGTTCACTAGAGATTCTTATCTCCACACATTCGGATTTCCCATTCCACTTAAACGGCCTGTAATGACAGCAGAACCCTCAATCCAGGTTCGAGAGCTAAAACATGAAGACTTGTTCTTGATATTTGCGTCGGATGGCCTTTGGGAGCAACTCAGTGATGAAGCAGTAGTCCAGATTGTTTTCAAAAGCCCAAGAACTGTAAGTGCAATGCAATGCCTTGGGATTGTGTTTTACTAATCATAATTAGATTTTAGATTCTGTAATTAGTACTTACAATTTTTGGAAGTCCAACTTTAATTTGCCAACTTTCCTTGATTATGAACTATGTGGTAAGGTGTTGGCAGTCTCGCTGGTCAATGTGTCAAGCTTGAGCCTCTTTCTAACCTCTTTTTTCATTGCTTTTTATAGTTCCTAATTTCGACTGCTCCTCAGTTTAGCTGAAAATCGCACTGGTTTTGTTCACATTGTGCCTAACAAGATGCTATTTCTTGGCATTTTCCGTTGCAGGGAATAGCAAAACGATTGGTGAGTGCTGCCCTTCACGAGGCAGCAAAAAAGAAAGAAATGAAATATGATGAGATTAAAAAGATGGAAAGGGGAACGAGGCGTCATTACCACGATGATATCACAGTGGTGGTTATATATCTTGATCACCATCAAGGTGTATCAAGTGGTGGTAAATTCAGGAAGCATAGCACTGTTGATTGCATTAGTGCACCAGTCAACATCTTCCCCCTCAATGCAGATGAAGTTGAGGAACCAGGCCACAGGAATTCCTGAATGAACAAGTACAATTAAATTCAGAATTATACATAACAGAATCGTAGGTTCTTAAAGACATGGTTTATTTGGTGTGAATGTTCAGTTTAAGTTGATATTTCAAATGAGATGGATTATACATGGTATTGGCACAACTGTACAAAATTTGTGGTAGCATTTTGCACTTTTTATCATTGATAAGGAATTGGCAATATGGAGTCTTAGCAGTGTAGCTGATTTTCATAATATATACATATTTGGCTATAGGTAAATACACTCACACAAATGCTTTCACAACCCCAACTTTACATGTGATATAGACCCTCGACTATATATATATATATATACACACACATTTCATGTGTTAAAAATTTCTTCAGCAAAATTCAAGTAAATTGTGTATGTATGTGAAATACTTAAGGTATCAACAGAGCAAACCAGCAAGCCCAATTTAAAACATGAGTCCGTTGACTCTTCCCGCTATAACAACCATAATTAATGAACAATTTGGATAGGCTAAACATGTTATAGTTTATTCCAATATCTCAACCACATTCTCAAATAAATGAATAGTTATTAAATACATAATGTTAATGTTGATAGTAAAAGTATGTTATTTGCATATACAAAAACTATGACAATTACCATCACTTAAAAAAGTATAATTAGTAACAACACAGACTTGCAACATAATCACAGAAAAATTCACGGTAATAGTAAATTTTTTATTCATGCCTTATTTTTCGGTCGATAAATTACTCATTCACAATAGACATTCGATATTTTATTTAATCATGCCTTGCGGATATGCAAATAATAACAATAATAATAATATATAACGATTATGATAAAATAAAAAAATGAATTTTTAATTAATTTTCATAATTATTTGTTCAACTTTAAAAACAAAAAATAGTATTTGTTGAATTCTTTTTTTCTTTTTCTTCAAAATTACACACAAATTGTCTATATATTTCAAATACGTACAACATCTATGGCTATGAAGCAAAACATTTTGTTTTTTCACCACTATAAAACAAAATATGAAGAACAAGATCAAATTAAGAGCAACAAACTCAAATAAATGAGAAAAATAAAAATTTGTGATCTTTTTCTACTATTTATTCGTCATTTGTCCACTCTGTGTTGCTCGAAGAAAAAATTTATCGGTAGTGTTCAGTTTTCTCCCATATCTCATCAATATTATCTAACCTCACCCAAATAAACATCATAAAATATTAGTATTTTCATGTTGTCAAATTAAACCCCAGGAGTTTGGTCCAGCGGTAAAGAGAGGGCCCTGGTCTTAACATGTCCAGGGTTCGACTCCCCAACACCCCATTATAATCCCTTATTTAACGGTGCTGTCGTTGTGAGTTCGGTTGTGTGATGACCCGAACCCGGGGGTTCGAACTGTCAACTGGGTCCTTACTCGAACCCGAGGTCATCTACGTCAAACCTAACATTTCAAGTGTCAAAACATGCTCATTAGGATCAAAATTAAACTTTTCCAAGGTTCAAAGTATTTCCCCGGAATCAAGAGTAGATTACAAAGGAAGAAGGAACAAGGAAGACCCAGCAGGCATACTTCGGTCGACCGAAGTGTAGCTTCGGTCGGCCGAAGCAGGCCTCCAAGAACCGGTCGACCGACACACTGCTTCGGTCGACTGAAGCTAAGATACCGAGAGCATTAAAAAGGTTTCGATCGACTGAACCCTATTTCGGTCGACCGAAATGGAGATCCCGAGAGTCCACAAAGGGGTTCGGTCGACCGATGCACTATTTCGGTCCATCGATGCGCCATTTCGGTCGACCGAAATGGCTTCTTCGAGCCCTGCATCCTGAAAACTGAAGTGCTGCTTTATCGAGATGAGAGGGGAACTAAAATGGGGACTTCAAAATGGTTTAATCTCGAGTTCAAACTTCAATCAAGAGTCACACTACGATCACAAACGAAAGCACTAACCCGTGATCACATTTAAACTTCATTTAGAGTCAATTACATAAATTTTAAAACATAGACTTTACATCAAAGTTAATATACATCAAAATGAGTTCAACTTCCGGTTACATTCCCATTAACATCTAAAGTGAACCTAATACGTTTTACATCATATGTTTTACAAAATAAGTTCAAGTTCTACAAAATACATCCAATACGTCTTTTAAGTCCTCTCAAGCCTGTGGTGGATTGTCATCCGCCAACTCTTTGCCATACCTTGAAAAATGTTAAATATATATATGGGGTGAGCAAATTGCTCAATAGGTGGTTCCTAAGATATATTTCTTGTGTCCCCGTGTACCTAAACAAGGAATAGAACAATAAGAGTCGGGGTCATGCTAAGTCGGGATAGCACACATTATATCCAAGCTTAACATTAACAATTTAATGCAATGGAATGCAATGCATGTCAATGTCGATCCCCATTTTCAAAACCATTTGGCCGGTAGGTTGCCGCACCACCGTCAAGCTTGAGAGTGTGTAGATTTTAAGGCGAGGGCCAAGAGTTTTACATTTATAGAAGCCATTACTACCTTCACTAAAAATATAGCTAAGGTGAGTAGGGATCATCCTAAGGGATTGTGAAGATTGAACAATGTCATGGAATCGCTATTAGGGCTAGTAGGTCGAGTGATCAAACAATTGGTTGGTAGAGCAACTAAATTAAACTAAGTGATAACAAAAGAATGCAATTAAGAGTAAGTAAAAGAGAGAGATCTTGGGGTTTAGAGATTACCACCAAGCAATGCATTTCTATACCATTGACAAGTGACTAATGAGGGCAATTGGTGTGTTGCAATATTGGTGTGTGTGTGTGTGTTTAGTTGATTCAACAAGCAAGGATGACTAGTTAAGCATGTATTGTCTAAACATCATGTGAAAGGCATAATATATCTAAGCAATGAAGCATATATTGTCTAAACAACATGTGAAAGGCACAATAGATCAAAACAAGTCATTAATCCTTTCATTAAACTCATAATCCAAATACAACACAAGGTTAGAGACATATGCTTCTTGCATTCAAAAGATTGGATCATCAAACAACAAGCATAGATTGTCTTCCCATTTAACACTACACTACAACTACACTACATCTACACTACTAACATGAAAATAAATTAGGGGAGAGGCACAATCCATCAAGGAATAAGTATGAACCATCAAGAGAATCACAAAAGCATTATTTTGAGCACTATGTCTTGACAATCTCCAAATCTATAGCATCAATACACATAGACATGCATCAATAACATAAAATCTAGAGATCAATAACACAAAATCTAGAGACAAACACATGAACATCTATTCTAGCATACATAGACATATGGATAGAATGAAATGATCAATTGGAAGCATTAAAACACATAAATCATTGAATAAACAAGATCTATATATATCAAAGTGTCAAAACATTAATTACAATACTAATCCCTCAATAATACACAAGATTAAGATATAGAAAACATGCTTGGGGCTAACTCTAGCCCCAAGAGAATGTCTAGCCACTCATGGTGATGTTGCTCTAACCCTCAAGGGCTAACTCCATGGTTAAAATCTGCTCCTTGTTGATGAAGAACCTCCAATGGTGTCTCTAGCCTCATCCTCTATATTTCCTCTCCAAGAGATAATATGAAAAATGATATTGGCTCCCCTTGTAAAAAGCAATCCTTATCCTTATATAGGTAGGTTAAAAGACACCCAAAATGAGCTGGGTTGTGCACACAATATTCCCTCATGATTGGATAAATGACAACTTTCAATGAGATGGAAATTTAACTTTTTCGCACTAGAGGAAGTTCGATCGATCGAACCTTGGATTTGGATCGATCGAACTGGCTAAGATCCATCGAACTTAGGCTAGATCGATCCAACTGGTTGAGCTTTTTGGGAAAAGACAAATCCGAGATATTTTGGGAGATATTTCTGGAAAAAGGACAAAAGTGGATAGTGTGTGGTATAGCTGTGGATATGATCAATCATTTGAATAAGGACAAAAGTGTTCGATCGATCGAAGGGTGGTGTTGGATCGATCGAACTTTTGGACTTTATGCTTTTGGGCCAAGGCCTGGATCTATCTTGAATTGCTAAGATCGATCATTGTTCGATCGATCGAACCTTGAACTTGGATCGATCGAACTTTTCTACTTCCTACATTTGGCTTCATTTGCCTCCTTCTTTCTCCACTTTGCTCCTTTCTTTGTTTAATCCTAGAGTTGCTTCCTTTTTGCTCTTCTTTGGCTGAGTTAGCTTATTTTCTGGATAAGTGCCTGAAAATGGAAATAATACGAAATCAATCTAAAAAGGTAAAATAAGATGGATAAAGGTACTAGAATGCCTAAGCTTAAGGGGTTTAAATACCCACTTCTCAGCGCTCATCACACCCCCAAACTTAAATATTGCTAGTCCCTAGCAATGAACTAGAAAGTAAAGGAATGAAATGAATAACTATACAAGTATTAACTAGAAAGCCATAAATGACAACGCCACTTTCGTAGGGAACATGATTGCACTTAGAATATGCAACAAGCCTTTTAAACCCCTAAGTTACCCCTAGTGGACGAGTGGAGTCTCGTGAGGGTTTCCAGAAATGGTACCCACAAACATTAAGCTCATTCTTTCAAAAGAGACACCAATATTGCAAACAACATTGGGAGAAAACTACCTCAAGTATACAATTTTTCAAACATTTCTAAGTAATCTCCCAAAATCTCAACATCGAGCAAACAAATATGGTCTTCCACAGATTAAGTAAATGATCATGCAAATCAAAACAACTCTAGAATTCTTTTGAGTGGACCGGTATCAAATATGTTGCTATCTTAGCCAACTAAAGAATTAATCACATCCTTACCTCAAACTAGCACACAAATCTAGTACCGATTATCAAGACAAAAAGTGAACCTTTTATTAAAGCTTTATTGTTCTAGGTGCGCTTACACTCGAATTTTTTTTTTTTTTTTTTTTTTTTGAGGGATCAAAGATGGAAGCATGGTGCAATGTGTTGATCTATTAAGCTTTCTAGCGATTCATGAGGTCGAGCGTTAGGTTAATGACTCCCAAACCAGACGGCTTTAGGGCATTAGGTGTTTAAACACCCCTACGGACTTACAAGCTCAAATCAACTAGGCTGCAAATC